GTCTGTAATCGGCGGCCATGTTTTCAGGTGTGACTCTTACCTGTGAGATGGAGGACAGGGTGGGGGAGATGGTGGGGGAGAACTGTTTGGAGTGATGCCTCCGTGACTCCCCCACCATCGGCAGGATGAGCGGGGACAGCTGGGCTCGTCTCCGCGGCGACGTGCTGAGGGACGGCTGGCCCTGACCGGCGAGCATCCCTGTGTAGGGGGAGGGGCCTGATCCAGCCACACCCACTCCGCCGCCGTAGCTCGAGTTACTTCCCGACTGGAGGGAGGAGTTACTGAGGGACGACTGCAGCGATTGGTTGCTTAGGGACGGGGGCATGGAGGGGGAGGAACTGAGCGACGACTGCAGCGATGGGTTGCTGAGGGACGAGTGAAGGGAGGAGGAGCTTAGAGAGTTGGAGAAGGAGTGGCTGCTGAGGGACGACTGGATGTTGGGGTTGCTCAGCGACGACTGCAGGTTGGGGTTACTGAGCGTGCTCTGTAACGACGCCAGGAGCCCTGAGGGAGGAGAGCAGAGGGTTAGCAGGGAAATGTCCAGAAAGGAATCTGTCTTCCAAACCAGAAGATTTCAATCTATAACATTTCAATAAAAGTCATTCAATCACTGTTTAGTTTCAGATGGTCTGAATTCTACTTCATGATGATGATGCTTCTCTGCCCACAAAACTTTAGTGATAATCGATCAAATAGAAGCAAAATTTATGCTAACGCAGAAAAAAACCCAACAAACCAGGAATGGAAACTCTGCATAGAGACGCATCAACCAGAGAATCAGAAGTGAGCTGAGCAGGCAGCAGGTAGCCCTGCAGACACGGAAACCCCTGCATGTTATCTGCTCATCTGACCTTTAACCTCCCACTTCTCGCCTGGCTGCGAACATTTCAGATGCTGATCAGGACCCTGAGAGGCTCTGTGGGCATCCAGAGCGTCCGGTTTCAGCTGGGTCTTCCCCTCATGCTATCTGTCCGTTTCCTGCAGGCTAAATACAGCAAATCTTAAGCTAAAGTTACAAACTTCTAACACCTTTTTAAATAGTCACATTTTGCTTTAGTCTAAACCAACTTTTTGACTCTGGTTAGGAGGAAATATCTAGAAATTTATTGAAAACAAACATTTATTTATTTATTTTTTTTTACTTTTGCAACTTTTTATTCAAAAATTTAAAGGATAAATTCTTATTTTGACTTAATAGAAACACTGATCCTTTATTTGTTTTTTAAAACAGGGCTGCAGCTACTGATTATTTTGCTACTCGTTTAATCGACAATTATTATTTTTTTGGACAGTAGGCTGAGAGGAAAGGGGATTTGATAGACGGGGGAAAGATATGTGGCCACATACGGGATTCGAACCCAGGTCATCAAGGATTAACGCCTGCGTGCGCTAACCACTGCGCCACCTGCATGCACGTAAATAAAAAATGAATCTTTAAAGAAGATCTTATCCAGAATAAAAGACAATTGCAGCTAAAATTAAGCCTCTTATGTGGTTCTGGACAGAGATTATTACCAGACATTTCCCCTGAAATTTAAAATGTTTTTATTTTTTTAAAGTCGTAGGGAAGCGGCTGTTCCAACGGTTGCATTTCCGAA